CTTGAAGTTTAAGTTTCCTGTCGTTCAACTTCAAATGTTCGATTGATCAGCAGAAGCTGGTGCAGCAGGCCGCAGAAAGTGCTCAAGCACCCGTTCCTGTAGACATCTGTAAAAGATACAGACCCGCCAAGTTAGCAAGCTGGTTAGAGCCTCTACCACCTCTGCCCGTCGAATAGTCAGTGTTGAGATTGGGACCGGAGCTGAACCGAGTAGAAGCCTCGAAACGTTCGACGCGAAAAATTATCCAGTAATACCGTCCCACTCGGTTTGGTGCTGTTGATTCAGTTGAAGGGGCTGAACAGCTTCTCCTCCTGGCTCCATCACACATGCCATTGCACAGAACGGAAGCCTTGCATGTGAAGGAAAGGCGCCCTGGCAGTGGCGGCTTGTGCAGAGCGGGCATTGGTTGTGCAGAGTGAATTCGGTCTTGATGTGGAGAAGGGATTGAGGTGGCAAGTGGAAGCAGACAGGAGCAGAAGGACGTGAAAGCTCGGTGGTTACTTTGAGGAGTTTGGCTCTAGTTTGTCGCCTCTCATCTGAGACTTCGCCAATCAGCGAGGATGGGGGAGTCTTATATAGGGAGCTACATCAGCTTGACTTCCAAGAGCGAGATTCGGTACGAGGGGACACTGTACAGTGTGGATACAGAGAATTCTAACATTGCACTCAGCAACGGTGAGTAGAGACGGTTTCTTTTCCCTTAAAAAACAGGTTGCGAACCGGATGTTGGCGGGCTTGAATTTATTGTAGGCTGCTTACCGCTGTATGTTTAGCTTGCTTGATTGTCTAAATGTTGTAAGTATTGGTCTTCTGATGTCTGTATGACACTGCCCCAGGAAAAAGACCGGTTTACTTGATTGAGCTGTGGCACAGTCAGTCAGCTCATGTTGACGCGTGTGCTTGTGTAGCCCTGATGTCATGCATTTGACCAAGAAACGCCAGCTTGGATGCCCTCTTCTTCTCCTCTTGAAACATAGTAGTACATCCACATTCCAAGAATTGGAGAAGCTGTGGATAACGCAGTCTCGGAACATACTGTTTTGTATTGTGTTTTTCGTTGTAGTACGGCGTGTATTTGCAGCCTTCTTTCTTACTCACGTTAACACTCTATAAGCACGAGGATTAAGCACATCAAGGTTTGCTAGCCGCTGTGAGCCTCAATATTCAACATTCTTATGCATTGGAGTATTATGGAATGTGAGCATGCACATTTGTCCAAGGGATTGCATATTTCAAGGTTCGGGGTGAGCTCGACCATTCCTGTCTCGCAGCCGCTCAACTTCTTTATAGAAATGTATCGTCTCTGCAGTTGTTTCATTTGGGACAGAAGGAAGGAAACAGGATGGCCCGCAGATTCCAGCAAGCGACAAGGTTTATGATTACATCATCTTCCGGGGTTCGGACATCAAGGTATGATCTTGTCGCTCACTCAATGATCCATTTCTGGTCTAGTATTCCGCCTATGCCTCAGTGTATCGCTTCTGCAGCACTCTGTCAACTAACAAGCGTCCCTTAATACATAGCTACCCATCTGGCAATACTTTGCTTGCTGCTCTTTCGCCGCTATTGTCTTGCGGGCCTCTTTATTCACAACTCGCATGTTGTGAATCTTTTTGTGAACCCTAACTATGTAGGTGCATTGAGCTCCTGCGTGGAGGGTTTGCACCGATCGCAAGCCTTCCAGACAAGAGCAGCTGGACTCCACTGATTGGCTGCGTGCTTTTTGTTCGTCTGCAGGATTTGCAGGTGAAGCCTGCAGCGGCCCCTCCCCAGCCGCCGCCGTCACAGCTGCCGAGTGATCCTGCAATCGTAGTAAGCGCGCAACCCTTGTTCTATCTTTTCCAATCACCTGGAGGCTGTTACTGATTTGCGCAATCGACGCAGTCTTTGTCAAGCTCTTCTGCACCGGCTGGTTGTGTGTACATTAAATGAGGGTGGGGAACGTGTGGCGCTCACATGGTAAAGGTTGCACGTTGATGCAGCCGCTGCCTGAGCGGTCCTCTGATTACATCAGCTGTTCGGCGTAGGGTTTGCTTTGAGTGCTTGTATCTACTGTCGCTTCCTTTACAAGCCTCTATTGCAACGTTGATTGCTTGCTCATGTCAAGTCGATTGCTCGCTCATGTCAAGTATTTTGAAAGCAAAATTTTCTGCGTCCATTCTTCGTCCCGCTCGCTCTCTTTTTTATCTTTAATGCTTTCTCTGGCGCTGCAGTTTTGGATGTAATTCGTGTCTTATGTATTTCTCCTTTGAAATTGGCACAAACACGCGTAAGGATTGGTGTCAGGGACCTTTTCCCGAGGCCTCACGTTCATTCGCAGTCAATCGCCACCTAAAAGCATCAGAACACACAAACTCTGACACTACTCTCCTTACTTAACAGCAACCGAACTACCCCCCTCGCGACACCGCCCCGGGCGCGCCCCCATACCCCCCTGGCGGTTTCCCTGGCGGGCCGCCGCCAACCCATTATGCGCAGCCCCCGGCCAGTCCCTGGGCCCCCCCCCCCCCGGGCCCCCAAGCGGCTCCTCAGTACTGGCAGCAACAGCAGCAGCAGCAGTACTACCCGCCTCCCGGTCCGCCGGCAACGCAGCCCGGTGCGCCGGTCATGGGGACCCCCGTGGTGCAGCAGGGTGCGCCGCCGACCACGCCCCCGATGCCACAGCAAGCAGGTGAGGCTCCCCTATTCTCTTTGCTGTTTACCTAGGCTTTTTATAGTTGTTTGTTTGTATTGGACGGATGTGTTCCCCTGCATAGAAAGCCTCTACAACCAACCAACATTTCGATTTCAAGGTTGATTGCACTTCTGAGCACCCCCCCAACGCAGCAGCAAGCAGTGAAGGATCTACTCTTGCTGTGCGCTGCCCCATCATGAGATTGGGTTCTCTGCAGCTGCCAGTTGTTAGGAGGAAGCGGCTTCTAGTGTGCTTTTTCTTTTTGAAAGCTTCGAGACTGAAGAACCATTCTTTTGGCTTCAAGGCATTGTTGAACGTGCAAAAGGAAGTGAAGAGCATTTGTAAGCCTATGGTGGCACAGACAAACGTGCGGGGTCGTTTGTTTCTTCTGTCATTTCTGTGGGCTGTCTTTTTCAAATAAAAGAAGATCTGGAAGCTGCACTTGGAATGAATCTGGCAGAGTCAGCCTCATTCAATATCTGCTTTTTGGGGATCTCGCGTTTTGGGAACTGGCTCTGAGACCGGGTCGCTTGATTTTTCTGGACTGCATCCCGTAACTCAGATTTTGGTCTCTACCGATGAGCCGTCATTGCTTTTGAACCAGATCTAAGCAAGCTAGTGGAGGCGCTGCTGTTGATGCGAGTTATGCAAGGTTCTGTCACGCTTCTTTTTTCCTAAGGGTAAGCACGCTTTGTAGGTCATGATAAGGACGCACTTCATGCAAACTTGTACTTATTGCTGCGCTCCTTCAAATTTTCCCTTTTCTCCGCAGTACCCTTTCAATGAATCCCGCTCATCAATCATCATCAGTAGAGCAGGAATAATCCTTCGAACGCCCGTATGTTATCCAAAGTTTCTGACACTCCTTTTTTCGTCCAGGTGCAACGGCAGCGGCCCCAGTGACTCCCCTCGCTCCATCCCAAAAGCTGGCGGCCCCAGCTGCTGCGAACAAGCCCCTCGCGCCGCCAGCTGTCAGCAGCCCGGCAGCGCCAGCTGTCCCGTCTGTAGCGGCGGCGGTGGCGTCAGCGGCTGTGACCGCAGCAGCCAGCACGGGAGAGGGAGTCAGCATCGTAGTGACGCCATCGGCACCTCCGAGGGGGCAGCCGAAGAAACCGGCTGCAACAGTGGGAGCAGGTGAAAAGCCCCCGGAGAATGCTTCCTATGCTGTTTGCTTTTGGTTGTCTTGATTGTAGCTGATTCGTTTTGTTGAAGGGAAGGATCTGATTTGTTCAGAAGAAACCAAAGAAGTCTGCTTCAAGCGGAGACAGGGGTCGCACTGTCATTTCGCCTGGAAAGAACTTGCTTATGCATCTATTGGGCGTAAGCCTTACATCCTCAAAAGAGAAAGCCTTCAACCCGCCACTCGTAAAGTTGTGCCACTTTTTACCCGCTTTCTACCCTTTCTGACCTAATCCGCTTGATCTATTGATTGTGTCCATTGGGTGCAAGGTCCGCACATGGACCAAGAGACCATCTAATTGGGCCGTCGGTCCTATTATCGTGCTTTCGTTCCTCACATCCGCAAAAGAACCACCGTCAAAATCTCTGTAAGCAGAACATTGGCAGCGTCCTGCTGTTTATGTTCACTTGTGCTGATGCCCCCGTTTTTCCCCAGGTGTTCTCCCCACGCCTCCGACAACGATCGGAATCACGCCCACGAAGGAGAAGCCCGTCGTTCCCATTCCGCAGCCCGCGCCCGTTGTTCCGGCCGCCAATCAGAACCAGCCATTGCTGCCGCTGCCAACTCAGGTACCCTTGAAGCCTCTAGCACCTGTGGGGCAGGTATGATAGCATGGTTCTGTTTGACTTTGTTATGTGGTTTCGCTTATCCACCTGAGAACAGACCATTTTTCGTCCGGTTCTGGTTGTATTATGGTGTGTTTTGCCTTGCTTCTTTACCTGAGAATGCGATCAATTTGCCCGGATTTGGACGAACGTGTGTCGATCAGGCTGGTGGTTTCATGGTGAGACGAAGGCCAGAAAAGTCTCCAGATGTTGTCAAGTATCTGGCCTGCCCAATCGAACTCCAATTTTGGAGATTGTTTTAAGTCCATTGTTATTGGTATTTTGTTGGACACTTGAAGCGGGATTTCTCCCTGGTGCGGTTACAAGAGGTGGCTACGAACGCACGATTTGACTGACAATTAGGGCATGGTTAGCGACTCAGGGGTGCTTCAATGGGTTTCACTTGCCAAGCAGTCTGCAGCAAATCCTTTGCAGAGAAGCTCCGCTTGTCTGCGTCCCGGAAAAACGAACTTCGGAGTTTATCTTCTGACCAGAAAGGAGAAGCTGCATCATCCGCCTCAAAAGAGGAACCGCTTCGAGGAAGTTTCAGGCTTGATCGCGCAATCTTTCGCTTCTTATCTATGCGCAATACGTTTGGTAGTGCTGCAAGGAAAGACTTGTTAGTGCTGCAAGAATGTACTATGCTAAAAATTTGGCTCTGAGGATCTGCGGGTATATTCTGTGCTCTCATGTCCGTTTCTGCTATATCGTGCAAGGGATAGTTCCTGTTCCAATTGATAAAGCACTCGCCGTTTTCGCTTGATTTGCTGCATACGGACTGCAACGCTGTCCCTCCTGCTTTGGAAAGCATTGGATCTAAAAGGAGCCCAGGCTTAAGAAGCCAGCTTTTGATGTCGTTGATTGTGTGGACTTCTCCTTTCAAAAGAAATAGAGATTGGATATATGTACCACGAACCGATTTCAAGCGAAAGTCGACTGGCTGAGTTCAGGCGTAACCAACCGAGTCGGGACCATTGATAAAACCTACTTGCTCCTCTTCACTACAGTGGCTTGAAACCGACCAAGTCATGTTAGCTCGGCTGCTTTTGCAGCGGCTGGTTCAAAAACAGACGAAAAAGGAAAGAGGAAAACAAAAGAGAAATAGAACGTAAAAGACACTCGGATCCTATATGTGCAGTACGGCGGAAGGGGCTGGGGCGGTCGAGGGGGCGCTCGTGGGTACGGCCCCAACCTTGCTGCTCAGAATGGGAACGCCTTCAGGGGAGGCAGAATGGGACCCGGAAGAGGCCGCGGCGGCAGGGGCACGCAGGTAAGCTTTCTTCTGCGAGCTTCATTCCTGCGAGCTTGATTCCTGAAGTAAGGGCAATAAGCGTCGGGCTTGCCTGATTCTGCAGAATAATCAAGAAGGCAAGGCAGGGTTGCAACGGTTCTTTGGGGTCTGCAACGGTTCTTTGGGGTCCGATGTTCGAGACTGCAAGCTTGTCAATCGATGTGCGCAGCCGATTTTACGCCTTGCAATGCAATAGAGCTCAATGCAATCTAGTCCTCAGTTTGCAGGATCAAGATTACCTCTTAAGTGCAAGCTGGGCCGTTGAAAGTTTTGTAATATTTAATTGCAGGAGCGCTTCACGGAGGACTTCGACTTCAACGCGATGAACGAGAAGTTCAAGAAGGACGACATCTGGGGTGAGCTGGGCCACACGACCGACGACGCCGCACCCAAAGATGACGGAGAGCCCAAGCCCCCCGCTGCCGACGAGGCCGAAAAGGAAGCCGTCGAAACCGAGAATTCCGCAACGGTCGAGGGGACGGAGAATGAACCCCCGGTTGCGGACGACAAGAAGGCCACGCCCGTGTACGACAAGGACGACTTCTTCGACAGCATCTCGTGCGAGGCGCTCGAGCGCTCGGCGGGCGACCGGCAGCGGTCCAAGTTCTCGGAGCAGAGGCGCGTCGACGTGGAGGTGGGGAGACGGGGCTTTTCCGACTTTTCTTGCCGTATTCCGTTGGTCACCGCTATCGCAACCCGGTTCGTATTTCTTTTTGAGTAGTGTGAGTGGAACTTTTTGTTGAGAGGCGGGCAACTCTGCCTCAAAACTACAAAGCGCATCAATGTTGAGGTGATGGGATGGCACTTGTCAATATCTATATTTCATGACGCTGTCCTTTATCGCAGATGTGACGTGGCAGTGTCTTTGTAAGCGTCGCGTCTTTTGATTGTTTCTTTTGAAGTGTTCGCTCTTGGTAACCCCTCACTGGTTGCTTATGATCTTGTTGGATCTTGTGGCATGACAGGATACTACTGCATTTGACTGGAAACGAAAGTTCTGAACACCCAAAAGGTGTCGGACTACTGGACAACGTCGCTCCCTCTTGATTCTGCTTCGGCATCTTCACAAGTATATTGGTTTGTCAATTCTCTTGGATACTTTTTCTCATCGGCACCCCCTTCTGTGCTGCAGACCTTCGGAAATGTGGCAATGCGGAGCAACCGAGGGGGCAGGGGCTATGGTGGCCGTCGGGGAGGCTACCGAGGTGGTTACAACGGCGGTTATGGTGGTGGCGGTTATTCTCGGGGCGGTTATGGAGGCGGTTACGGCAACCAGGGCAGGGGTGCCGGCAGGGGAGGGTTTGCACCTTCCAGGGCTGCAGCTGCCACGTAGCCATCATCAAGCAGGAGATTTGAGGGACTGGAAAGGGCTAGCCTGGGACGTTCAAGGGAGGGGTTTCCCGTATGCTTTTGGGCCCAGCTGCCCATTGGAAGCTAGCATGAAGTAGCTGGTATCCGAAGAAGCAAAGAGACGGATACTTGCAGAAGAGCGGCAGCACAGCTTATGTTGCGGGCTGCTTGCAATTCAGTGGTCGTGTCCCTCCAAGTTTGCTAAGGCAACACAACGGTCACAACATGTCTAAGAAAGCGTCTTGGTTGAAAAGAGATGGAACGTGGCTGTGTATGAATAACTTTGTCGACGACTCCATCTTCAGAGTCCTTCGTGTCCAATACATTCGCGTTCACGGAATGTATTTTCGTGATGTGGCTTGGCGACTGCATTCAACGGTCATAAGTGACGCTGGTGAGCATGGGCCGGCTCAGAGAAACATGGTTGAGAGAAGAGCTTGGACGAATGTGCACATTCTCATCAAGTGCAATCTGACCTGAACCATTGGTCGGTGGATGCATCATGTTAGGCCGGGCGGCAAATGCTTGTCTGACATGCGCGGGGTGCGCCAGACTGGCCGTGCCAGTGCTGACTTATAGCCCACATGATTATCAAAAATCAATTATACTGCACATACGGTGAGGTACCTGGTCATATATGAGGGCGTCCATATGCAGTCAAGATTATAACCGCGTTGCGGTACGACGGCTCGCACAGGCATGGATTAGATAGGAATTCCGCGTCCGACATTCAACGTAGATCAGCTAGATATAGGCCCGCCGCACGCCCATGTGCATGATTTTGACCTGCCCGCAAGCCGGCCATATGGTGCATCATGCTAGGGCATGCACGATGAGATCCAGCTAATCCGACTTTGGACCGCTGTCATGGGTGCAATCACGTGTGCAAAACTCGTGAGACATGTGAACAATTCATGTTATCAAATTGCATGGTGCACACACAATATATGCCATGATGGCAAGTTTGTGCCGGATATGTGCTTTGCCACAGCTATGAGTGTGGAGCGGAAAATGTATGCCTTGTTGGACGCCTTTGCCGAGCGGCGGCCTACGATGCTGAGCATGTCACCAGTGGATGGTTACATGCAGTCTCCATCCAGTGAGATGGAAAATGGGGACTGGAGACCGTCTGCAGAATCGAGATGGTCCAGACTCGGACCATCTGATTCCGGCTTTGCGCGAAACTTTCGCTAATCAAGGCATGCGTCCCCCATGCGTACCGTAATAACACAAGAAGCCATTGGACCATACCATCAAATGGATGGGGATTGGCCACCATCAGCTCGCTCGCTGGCTAAAGATGCATGCCGGCAGGATCCAGTTTCGCTGGGCTGTCATGCAAAGCAGACCTAGACCACATGGGATCCTCAATGAGATCGAGATTAGGTTTGATGTGCCATAGAAATGGAACATCAGAGTAATCTGCAACTTGTGTAGTGACAGACAACAGTATTGGAAAGAAAGAACAAGCACGCAGTCGCTTGCGGGTTGCAGGCTGATAAGTGAACATGATCGAATGATAGGCCCATCAGAAGCTTTTCGAGATGCGATTCGACCGCCTCCTTAACATTAATGCACAGGTGCCGCCTTCGAGATTCTTGCACATGACTGGAAAGCAGCAAATCAAAAGCGTGGAGTCCGACAGGAAACGTCATCCTGACGTCTCCGTGTCTCCATTAGACGACAATCAGAAAACTTTACCGGCCACAATATTTACAAAAGTGATGATCCATTGACAAACGTCTATCTTTCCTTGTAAACGGCTTTTCAATGCTGAAAGAAAGATTCTGGATGACCTAAACGGCTCCTCATTAAAGCTAGGCATCACATCTTCTTCATCCAAGGAGCTTGCTTTAAGACTGCCTCCTTCATTTTCTGGGCCTTGATCTTGTTCGAGTCGAACTTCTTGAGGTCTTTGCTTATCGCCTTTTCCAGCCGGTTCAGCAAGTTCCTCAGGAAGTCCCGGATCCTCTCTCTCTCCTTCGGATCAAGATCCAAGCGCTCGCCGGACGCTGTGAGCTTCGAAACAAAGACCTGAAAGACGGGACCTGCGAGATCTGCTCCGCAAAGACCGTCACGCGACACAGCCTTCGATGTCTTACCCGCCAGGAACTTTTGGAGAAAGAGCTCAATCTCAGCCATCCTGCGACTCTCTCGCGGGTGGCAGGCGATAGAGCGCCACACCCACTCACAGAACTGCTCTGTGAAGCTTTCCTCGTTTCCATCCAAGCAGGACTGCAGCAGTGCGTCAGCGAAGAGGGGGTAGAGCGCTTTGCGCTTCGCTTGGCGCTCCTTCCGGGCCTCTGCATTCTCTGCATAGCCCTTCGCAGCTTCGTCGAAATGGAGGTCCAAATTACGGATCTGTTCATCGACCCAGGCAATCACCACGGCTGGAGCCTTCCGCGCTTTCAAAGATTCGTCCTCAGCTAAGAATGACCTCACAGCAAACGGCTGCGCCTCGGTTACCTTCGCCTCTCGAAAGTTCCATGGCTGCTGCTTCGCTCCAAACGTTACCAATCTTGGCGTTTGTTCAGATGAGGGAGCTGATGGATCTGCAGATTGGTCAGAGGACCAGAGCGTTCGAGCTGCAACCTTTTCCCGCGCGCCATGAGCTTCTGCGAGCACAGGAGCGAACGCTGCGACGACCAACGGGAGCCATGCGATGCTCTCCATGATGCCTGTTTCTTCTCCAGAAATGATAATCCAAAGCAGACGTTTCAGTTTCTGGTACAAAGATGTCACTTGCCAAACCCTCTGCCAAAACTTTGGTATCGCAACCGGGGGTAACGTACCCCGGCCAGTCCGGAGTAACGCGACAACGCGGCCGCGCGTCCCTTTTTCGGGGCCTGGGCTTCAAGACAGTAGCGCGAGCGGGGCGCACCGCTCAGCACCGCTTTTGCGAGCCATCGTTCTGATTTGTTGGCAGCGGGCTACCGGAGTGCAGCCGCGAAGCTATGAAGCAGCAAAGCTGTGCAATTTACGTGGTTTACTTGTTGTCAGAAAAGGATAACGTCAATATGCAAGTTGGGGCCTGTTTGTAAACGAGAACGCACGCTTTGATTGTGCATAAAGCTAAAATTGTAGTCAATTGAACGCAAGGCTTTCCAACGCATTGGCACATACCATGCATCGAGGAAGATATGTCACGCGCGGTATCCTCGTGTATCCTCGAGACTGCAAGAGCAGGCGTGAGTCAAAAGAAAAGGGCCGAAACCCTTACAACTGCGGCTATACGTTATTCGCAGAGCTGCCATATTGGGCGGGTTTGTGACTTAGTATGCAAGGATGACGTCAATGCTTCATTACATCGTCTCAGCTAGCTGATGGGAGCTTGACATATTCGTTTTGACATACAAGAGCCAACTGTTGCACCGCTTTTAATGCATTGCCACGTTGTCAGTAACCCCTTGTTATCGCCACAGTTACGATTACGAGAAGTAACATATCCATGGAGCAGCAAACTGAACCACTGCTCCTGTAAGGAGAGACCCATAATATGCACGGCAGACCTCTTTCTCTCGAGCCTTTCTAACGTGATGAGAATGCTCAGCTGGAGATCACCGTATTCAGTACCTGTTATACATTGAAGAAAACAAAACATGGAAGCTGCAGACAAGCAGAGATTTAGAGCATACGTCCGTAACAATTGCCTCTTCAATACCGCCACTGTGCCTCTTACCTTTTCTAAGCTTATTCATTCCACTGCGTCTTGTTTCATAGCGTAGCTTCTTGTGGGAGGAGCGTGCAAATTCTATTTTCATCCATACAGACGTGTTTATTCGGAGTCTTTTTGATTGGACTTCCAAGGGGCTCGACTTAGAATCTCCTCCTGGACCTTCCTGACCTCTGCTGCCTCGGCTTCTTTCTTGCGACCATTTAGGATCGACGTAAACATGTTGTACAGAAGGTTTTCTAGGAGGGTTTCCAGCCGCCTAAGTTGCTCTTTATTGAGACACTTGTGGTGTTCCTCGGTAGCAGTCTTTGCAACAAACTTGTTGAGGAGCGGAACCAGGATCTGTGAACCAGACAAGCCATCAAAGTTCACCGTTGTTGCCAAGTCAGACTCTTCCCCTCCTAGAAACTCCTCCAGAAACAACTCAACCGCAGCTCTTCTTAGCAAGGGTCGCTCCTGGTCACTCATAACACACCATGCCCAGTCGCAAAGCTTCTCAACGAACTCGTCCCGGTCGCTTTGGTCCGCCCAGGACTGAAGCACTGCCTCCGCATAGGCTGGATACGTTACTTTGCGCCTCGCCAGCCGGCCCTTCTCCGCCCCTTCTTCCCAGAATCCCTTTACGAAACTGCTTTCTAGCTGAAAGAGCTCTTCTTCGAGCCAAAGAAGAACCTTTGAGGGGTGCTTTCCTGGGTCAGGGAAGTGAACAAGCTTGTCAAGGTTCACTGAAGCTCGGAGTATTGTCCTTTGCCATTTTGTCAGAGGACCGTTAATGTTCCGTGCTCTCAACGGCAGCTCATTCGCTCCCAAGCTGTTCGCATCCGTTGCGCGTCTCACTGGAATGGTAGCAAAAGCAGAAAGCGGGTGGTAGCTTTGCGTTGGACACTTCTTTAAACAAAGGCCAAATGCACAGGGAGTCAAGCCGGACAATCTCAGAGTTGTAGCACATATTCCTGGATCAAGGGAGAGCCGCGTCATCTTGCTCAGCGCTCGCTAATAAAAAATAGTGCGTAATACAGTAGCCTTGATATGTTTGTTCGCAATCCACATTGTAGCGCTACCGGCAACGTGCGCGCTGGTGCTATTTTTAGTGCCGCGCTGAGCCGCGAGCCGAGAGTCGCGGCGGCCCCACCGAGACGCCGAGGTTTTGAGGAGGTTTATTGCATGCGGCCTGGCGCGGCCGGCCGCTGTGTGACGCCGCTACCGCGCGTGCCAAAATTCTCAAACCCTGCCAGGCGCGGCGGCTTGAGTGGCCGGGGGCCCCGGGCGGCGGCCAGCGCGCGCAGACACCGTTGGGCTTGATCAGCCGCCGCGGCGCCCAGGCGTAGGCGCCAAACACACGTGCTCATTCCATCAGGTCAAAACATATCCCCTCCCTAGGTAGGCGTGACTTCGTGGGAGCATACTATGAAACTTTTAAAACTTCTAGAGGCGGATTAGCGAGGCTGCTGCCAATATTCTGAGCTGGCGACATGGCGGCATCAGAGAATTTCATGTTTTCTGACGTGTTCATGACCCCAGGAAAGTCTGACGATTCCTGACGGAGTCACTGCCCCTGGCTCGTAGCGCTACAAAGACTGTCGTGCTGCGGAATACCCTTCTTCGTCATAGCGGGTGCGAAATGTCATGCCATCTCTGGCGTTCACCATTTCACGGCGCACTTTAGAGCCTTTAAGAATGATCAAAGCAAGCCCAGTCCGTTGTAGAGGGTATTCAAGATTGATCAAGAACTTTCAAGGTTTGAACTTCAGGTCGACGAGGGACATCGTCATTGCCAGCCTGAGATACGTCAGTGGCGAGTCTGACAAGCAACCCGATCCATGGTCACATGATGGTGCACGTTGATTGAAGCCGTGACGCAGCTTCCTATGCAGAATCTAGATAGCGCTGTTCTTCGACACAATGATCCTGCCAGATACGTGCTCGTCAAGAAGTGCCTTGACGAGCACGTCATGACTTCTGGTCACTTCAGCTTCGTATGCATTTTTAAAGGTAGAGTGCTTCCTGTAAAAGTCGAACCATCCTTGAAACATGGCGCGCATGTAGGCACTCAGGATCAACGCGAGATTGGGCGCCTGCCTACATGTAATAAGTCGACATTTGAGGAAACAATTATACGCAGACTTGCAAAGAAGGTTGAGAAACGTACTACTGAGAGCCAATTCACACTTAAATGTCCTCAAAACGACTTTTCCGCCTGTGGGGAAGGCCGTGTCAAGGACCCATTACTTTCCTTCGCTTTCGGATTCTCCTGGCCAGGTCGCAGGGAACATGAATGATACATACAGTCCGAGACTTTCACAGCATACGCGTCAACAATCTCAGAAGTAACGGAGGGGATGACCAGCAACAAGATCAGGATCTTTAAGCAGCTTGCTGATTGTGGACGTGAAACATCATGGAGTCCTTCTATCGCCTAACATAAGTCATGTGAGAGTCGAATTCTGTATGGGTCTGCAACAGCACATAGACACAAGTTAAGGTCGATTCAATAAGCTGACCAACATCAACCATAAGGGCGTCGGAAGCATTTTAGGTCGACCTTCGATACTAGAGCTCGATCTGATACCATTACGACTGCAGAAAGAGTAGTCATTGAGATCTCAGTTCGCAACAGACTTTTGCTAGGGAGTTGACTAAACGAATCTTCTGATTATGGATGCTGTGTACGTGGGTTTCGAGAAGGACTGGAGACATGCATACCTTCTGCGAAAGAGCCGAGCAAAAGTTCTGGCCAAAAGCACACAAGCGTTGCCGCACATTGGCACGACGGATGGGCTTGACAGCCCGCAGCAGCTAATATGTGTCTTTTACCCAAAAGCCCGTACACCGTTTGTTACGTCTCTCATACACCTGAACCCCGGTCCACCTGGCTCCGCTCCCAGATTGGTTTACCTGAAGGCGTTTCCGCCGGAAGCTGCTCCGCCGGAATGCTGTCACTCGGGACTTCTCAGCCCTAGCTTCCAAGGCGCTCGGCTGAGTATCTCCTCCTTGATTTTCCTGACCTCTGCTTCCTGCTTTTCCTTCTTGCGAGCATTCAGAATTGAAGCAACGATGCTGTTCAAAAGGTACGCTATGAAGCTTTGAAGCCGCTTGAGCTGGTCCTGCTCAAGACATTTGTGATGTTCCTCGGATGCAAGCTTCGTAACAAACATGTTCAGGAGCGGAACCCGAATTTGCGACCCAGACAGGCCGTTGACTTTTACCGCTGTCGCCAAGTCAAAGTCCTGGCCCCCCAGAAACTCTTTCAAAAAAAGCTCAACCGCAGCTGATCTCCGTGCCTTCTGGCTAGTCTGCAAGTTTTCCCAAGCCCAATCACAAAACTCCTTAACAAAGGTCTCTCCGTCATTTTGGCCCGCCCAGGACAGAAGCACTGCCTCTGCATAGGCTGGATACATCATCCTGCGTTTTGTCAGCCTGTAACTCTTTGCCCCTTCTTCATAAAAGTCCCTCAGGCTGCCCTCTAGATTACAGATTTCGTTTTTAATCCAGGGAAGGACCTCTGAGGGACGCTTCCCTGAATCAGCAGATTGAACAAGCCCGCCAAGCTGAAACGAGGCTTGGTTTGAAACCTCTTCAAGGCTTTCAAATTCGTCCCTGTCTGCTTCGAACGCCTGGTTATCCGCCTCATTTTCTGAGCTGTTCCTATCTACTGTACTTCTCACAGATATGGTAGCTGAACCAGAAATCTGGTTGAGCCTTTGCGGTTGTCTCAAATACGGACCAAATGCAAAGAAACTCAAGCCGGGCCATCTCTGAATTGTCGCCAATAGTCCAGAGATATGGGAGAGGCACCTCATCGTGCTCATCGCTCGCTTACCAAAATAATTCTCCTTGTTCAACATGTTGTGACATCAAGAACTTCTGTAAAAGCGGCGCGCTTGTTGCACCGAGCAGCGCGAAGTCGCGGCCGGCTGTGCGGGGAGTCCGACGTATTTTTGAGGAGGTTTAGTGCAGGTTTAGTGGCTGCCATACGCGCGCGCCGCGGCCGCGCCTGCCAATATCCTAAGTGGGTCCTAGTGCGCTAGCTCAATCAACCAACAGTGAGTCGCACTCACCCGCTCTTATAATTGGTCTTCCCCACTTGGTGTTTCCATCGCGTACAAGATGGCCTCAACTTCGTGGGAGGACACATTGAAAGCTCAAGAAGGAGCGGAAAGCAAGGTTGCAGAGTTTGACGTGGAAGTCTGGCAAGGAGAAAAGACTCGTGATACCTTCTCACCCGAGAAAAAGGAGGAGAACCTGAAAGAGCTCAAGGCACTGATTCCGGACTTTAGGGCTCCCCATGTCGAAGGCGATAAGCTCTGGCTATTCTACAGGCTCCTTGAGGAACTTGCATGGGTGGACCCAGACCAAGCATATGATATCTACGTTGAGTGGTTTTCTCAACGACCCGAACAGCGTAAGGTAATCGCTTCTGATCTTGAGAACCGTGAAGAGTCGAGGCGCCACTTTCGCGAGGCCGCCGAGTATCTTAGGGAGAGAAATGAAACGCTGCCTTGGGAAAAAAGAGTTAGTGCTATGACACCTCCAGCCGTATTGTTATCAATGAAATATTGCTGCTCCGGGTCATTAGTGTGGGAAACATCAGAAGAGGACGTTCAGGGCTTGCTCAACAAGTTCAAGACGTTTGCTCAGAGATTGTGGCGGCAACTATTCTCCTAGCCTGGGAGTGGTCTTCTTCAGCAGACTCGTACTAGTCGGAGATTCTATGTTTTAAAGGGTTACATACGATGCTGCTGTCCTCTGCATTTTCAGGCTCTAACAACTCCAGGAAAGAAAGTACGAGTCCCTGATTCCTAGCAAAACTTCTAGCTCAGCAGGTAACTATGGGTAGCTGCAGACTGCATGTCTGCAAATTCAAGGTCGTGCTTAGTTCATGCTCTAGTTGCACGGCATCAAAAGCAAACTATCACCTTGTTCGCAAGCCAGAAGGCGCACGCCAGCCAGAAGGCACGTATGAGATTGCAATGCATAAGACCGTTGTCTTCGTTGTTTACTCCTTGGAACGCTCGTCATGGATATCAATAAAATGCCTTGGGAAATCAAAGGACAGCACATGCATGTATTCGTATGAGGCTCACAATTACAAACAAACTGAAGTCATGAATTTGCGATGCTTAACACGGATATAGCTGTTCATCGAGTCGGCATCCTACTAGATGGATGCACCGCTTCCTGATGAATCTTATTTATTATATTCTCCTCAGAAGATGCCTTTGCCGGTCTAGCCGCAATGTATGCTGTGGCAGTCCTTTCTTCGTAAGGCCTGATTGAGACGTTTCTCGAATAATCTTGACTGAACAGAGAACCCTCCGCGCGCTTTCCCATTTGCTAAATTGGGTCTTTGACTAGACTCAACTCCGTCAACAAAGCCAGAGGCAACCCGTTCAGACATGCTGCTATGCTGCGCCCGAGAGAGAAGCCGAAGCCCTCATGTCTATGAAGCAGATTGATCCTCATCCTAACTCCTAACATGTCGCGCTCATGTGCTTTCGGAACACTGAATCGAAACAGCCTCGTGAATGATGTGAATCTGGCGTGATTCATGCAGCAAGTCGACCCATGATGCGCGCTTGAAGCCACACAGCTTCCGTGCAGAATCGAAAGTCAGGGCTGTCGTCGGCCACATGCGAATTCGCCGAACACATGCTCGTCAAGGCACTTCTCACAAGGGTTGTATTAGGGTAGGATCCTTTTTCAACAAATCTGACTTGGTTTTCAAACCGTGGAGCGCTTGTAGGGCCAATTGGCGCGACATGATCATCTGCACGATCATACTGCCACCTTGACCGCATGCCCACGTCGATTCCGGTCCATATTCAGGTGGAACTCTTGCCTCAATTTCACATTTAAGGAGAACGCCGTTCAAGAAGCCGTTCCGAAGGGCGTTCTTTCCTTCATACATTTACGTGCTGCCAAAGACTGGTATGGCGAGCAGAACAGAAACAAGAATTGAGAATCTTGATCAGCTTTCAACACTCAACGCCTTTCTTCTCAGAGTCCTCCTCCATTCTGGCCCGAAGTCGTCGACCGCGTGTCAGCACACAAGATGGAACTCGACCTTCGGCTCAGCCTGCAAGGAAAGCGACACAGGAATTTGAATCAGGAGAGCCGGACTGGCCCGGAATCCAATTGGACGTCCTTCAGATGCCGCATCCGTTCCGGAAGCGGAATATGTTCGGGCGTCCGGACGCGAACTCCTTTGGGGCGTCCGTCAGATGCAAGATCCGTTTGGGCGTCCGGTGGATGCAATCCGTTTAAGAAGCCCAATGCAAAGCAAGTCTGGGGTCCGTTTGGCAGCCATCAGACGGGGTCCGTTCGAACGTATGATCGGACTTGAGAACGTCTCGGTTTGTTTGTGTAGACAAAAGAATAACCTTCAATTGACTGGCATGGCAAAGACAATCCTGCAGTTTACAAGTCTAGTCAAGCCTCCAAAGCATCCGAAGCACTAGAAGTTCGGCTGATTCTATTAGTTGTACGAACGCAGTTCGATACCATGTGAGGTTCCAACCGCAGGCAGCAGCAGAAAATCGGAATCAACCAAACTTACTTCGCAAACCAGGAAAGGAGAATCTTGAGATTATGAGGGCACAAAATAATGGGCCACGAGCATATAGAAGTTGCCACACAGGCTCAATGAAAGGGTTGCGTAGCCCGCTTTAGCGGTATAAGCTATAGCTTTTAGGTCCACCCAAACCCCTTTTCCGGTTTACGTCGGGCGTGTACCTTGGTTGACAGGGCTCCGCTCCCTCAAATCGGCTTACCTCAACGCATTCCGCCGGAAACTGCTCCGCCGGAACCTACCAAGCCGGCCACGCGACGCCCTCGGCCAGGGTGCACCCGGTCCAGACCGCGACAACCGTCGCAGCCTGTACGGGGAAGAGGAACGCCAGCATGACACGTGTCACAGAGGGCGGACGCGACCACCACGTGGGTCTTAGTAAGTTGCACTTTGAGCAGTGCTCTCCGCAATTCCGGCAACGTTTTGTGTCCGCCCCGGGGCCGGAATTCAGGGCCTTGGTTCGCGCGGAAAGGAACCAAGCGTAAGTAACAACGGCTGTGAGTCCGATTGAGGGGCAGTAGGACTGTGGAGGAGCTCCTGTTCCGCCCATATTCTCCCTTTGCTCCCACCCGTAAGCTTGTGGGCTTTCTCGAAGTAACGACCTTTAGTCCCTTCGACGAAGTTTCAGAAGCTTCTTCTCGGAATTCCACCGCACGGTCGACAGACGCTTTGCTGAGACACCTCGTCTTGTCAAAGCGATACTTTGAAGCTAACACTTGAACAACCAAGCTTTATACTTCAAATTCTTCTCCGCAAGCTCATACGGAACCTTAATCTGGTGGGAAGCCGTCATGAAGCCGTCTGCTTAGCCACGCTCAGCTCCGCACTTCGTTTGCCAGGGTGCGAATGTCTTTCGACGCACGACGCGCCGGTCGAGTCTCGCCAGAACCATTTCAGCGCTCCGCCTTTGAATGAGAAAAGCATCTTTGAACACGTTTGTGGGACGTGAACGCAAGGCGCGTTTGTGATATTATCTGGAGCCTCTTTGCCTTTCAGTCCAACCTTCCGACATATTGGAACTGTATACTAGCCAGTGGAAGAGTCGTCCGTCTTTGCGGGCCTCTCTAGATTTTGAGTAGGATACTAGACGTGACTGGTCGTACGCCGAGCTGAATGAAGGGCTTTGTTTTTGCACAAGATCACGTAGACAGTGACGCTTACGCTTGCTAGCTGGCTGTCTTGAGAGGATGGAGACTTGACGTGACCTACAATCACTTGGTTCCAGGACTATGAAACACTGAGGACGTGGAAGATTTCTGGCCAGCCAGCTAAATGACTGCGAAGTATCCTCCGAACTGAACCGGGGGCCTGCGGAGACAGGTGACGGATCAAACGGACCGGGTGGTTCATGCGTACACGTCCGGGGACTCGTACTTCCTTCAAGGCAGCATGACAGAAGGCCAGGCCCACGTCTCCGGTCGGTTTGAAAGTAGGTGACCGTGACTGGTTTAGGTTTTGTTTGCTGCTTGACCAACCTGCACTGTACACTGAGAAGCCAATTAACGGTGCCAGATTGACTGGAAGATGAATCGACGGCCTTTGGTCTATGTAGTCAAAGGCTCGAGGAAGGCTGTGATCCACGTGGTTACTCCGTAACGTTTAGGGTTAAACACGTGGTCAACGAGAGAATTATAGCCGATACTGCAGTAAAGAGAGGCAATTTGCTGCACTTAGAGAGGCTTGTGAGCCTGCGTTTACATTGACATGTGCAGGCGCGGACGTACGATCCGCAACATTCATATCTTTGCATGACCTACGGTAGATCCACTACAATCGAATTAGCGCAACTTCACGAATGAAGCTGCCAATCAGCATGTTGGATGAAACCAGTAA